TGCCGACTCTCTCATATGATGACGACAAGGCCACCTCATTTCCTTGGCTTGCAGGATTTTCGCGAAAAAAAGTGGGTTGTTTATTGGCATTCCACGTGTGTACTCGTGTTGCATGTTTTTCTTTTGCCTCTTGACAGGGTCCCTGGAGGCTGCATTCTCGATTCTCGCTCTAAGAGACGGTGTTGTGCCTCACACTCTTAACCTCGCGACGCCGGACCCGACGTTCGGATTCACGATGGTCAAGGGTGCACCGGTGGGTGGCGGTCGCTTGTGCGTGCGTGCGCCAGGGATAGTGGTGTGTAGTGTATGCTTGTGTCTGGTTCTGTTGTGGTGATTTCTTCATCAGCCGCGCTCTTTACGAAGCTGTTTGCCGGTCTCGTGTCTCGATTTTCGGCGCGCTTTTTGAGTTCCGAGTTGTTTACATGTTTTTGCTATTTTATTGCCTCGTTTTATCGTCGACAAATACTTGGGCACTAAAGACTGGTAGTCAAACCACCTCACCCCCTCCCCTGCGCGCGCGGAAAATAGGTGAGGGTGGACGACTTGGACGCTGTGATGAGTAACTCGTTCGGCTTTGGTGGCACTAACGTGTCCTTGCTGTTTTCGCGCGTGTAACGCGACCAAGCGAGACCTTTTCGCTGTTCGCGATGAACCGATGAGAGAGTAGGAGAGGGTTCAAGAGTTTGGGGGGGAAGGGGAGGGAAGGAACCAGTGGCCAAGGCTTGTTGTGCCTTGCTTTGCAACCGAAACATGTACATACCGGTGCAGTTTTGTGCCTTGTGTACGGATAGGGTTGTTCGTCTTGGTTGTCGCAAGGTCAGTGATGGTTGTCGTTGTGATGTCTCCCGTTTTTTTGCATCGTGTTCGCCTTGGCTTTGTGTCGAAGTGTTTGTGTTTGCCTTTTGCTTTGATTCCCTCCTGGAGGAACTTCATGGCTGACTGCAGAAAAAGAGCCCGGAGTTTGAAGTGAACCAATACGATTTGATGGTATCGGAAATGTGGGAACCTAACGCATGTGTTTCGTGGGAACCTAACGCGTGTGTTTTGTGGGAACCTAACGCGTGTGTTTGACGAGGAAACGGTGTATGTGCTGGCTTTCTTCGAATCACAGAGCGTTCCTGGCTTGGGGTTCTGCTTGTTGTGAAAGTACGGTAATGCGGGGCGACTCCGACTTGGGTCCGTCCGAGTGGAAGCGCTCACCCAGCCCATATCCCCGACATAAGTCTACCGCCTTAGGTTTTCGGTACGAAAAGGGTGTCGTAGCCGTGGTCCGGGTCTTACTCACGGTCATTGGGTACTACAACGGGCCATCGGCTGGTGTACGCGTGGCCACTGAGAGCGGCGCAAAATCGTTGCATCATATCAACAATTTGACCGATACAGGGTTTTCTCGTGTACAGTCCTCTACCCAAAGTGAGTGATTGATGAACATTACAAAAAGCACGCTTACTGAACGGCGCCAAAGGCCTTTGCAAGCACATCACTGCCTGTGCGATCCCGTCGTGTATACGGTGGATCTCGCTCTAGGGCGCGTGCGCTACCGTAGTAGCGTGTAACGGAGGAGCTTCGCGTGTATGTCTGTTCGAAGAAAGCGGACTCGATCGCGATGAGATATCGGTATCACCGAAGATACTGAAACTTCGTGGTACTGTTTTTGGATCCGCGTACAAGAGAGTCTCGAAAAATGGAGGGGGTAACGGAGACCACTTTCATAAGGTGCCATCTTCCCAACGTCTGTCGATGACGATTATTCCCTCTTTTCACACACGTCGCTCAGAGTATTGCATGGAAGCCAACCCTCGACGCCTTTCACACAAGAGTCAACACTATAAACGTGTCCACACCCAACCGTTGGGGAGTCCTCTCTCTCTCTCTCTCTCTCTCTCTCTCTCTCTCTCTCTCTCTCTCTCTCTCTCTCTCTCCGTATCTCCTTAAAAGCTCCTCCATCGTATGTTTGTCGCGAACGCTTCTTTTCGAGATCACCACTCTACACGGGGGCTCAACAAAACCGGCGTCAACAAACGCAGACGTACAGTAGTCCGAGCATCAACAATGGACGATCTTACGTGAACAGACTATTCCCTAATTTCTTAATATAATAGTCACCCCGAAGACCGGAGCATAGTCTCGCCTGTGTTCCCACGTCAATCAACCCTGTGGCCTGCGGCGGCACCATTTGGTGGCCGCCCCCCCTCCGCTCAACCGTTGTCTCTGAGGAAGCACAAGTTATTACTGCGTCCAATGTAGACTCGTACACCCGCCACCCCATACCCTAAAATTGGTATCCATCTTCCGAGCTTTACGTTATCTATATGCGTATGAATACGCTGTACATCCACGCAACGTTAATATTCATGTTGCATATCGTACTAAGTGGCAACGATACAGTTGGGTAACGTTTGCGCGCCGCAACAGGTGGAGTCGGCATCTAAATCGTATTCTATTGTAGCGCCACAGCACATAAAACAGTAAATGAAAAAAGTGAACATCGGTCGACAAAGATGGAGAGAGCAGATGCGAGGGAAAAAATGCCGAAAACGATTCGAGGCACACACGGATCCCCCGTAAAACAAACATGATGCGTTTACAACTCCCCCCCCCCCTCAATGTCCCCTGTCTGCTTGGTTGTCCCTTTCTTCGATACACCACCACAACGACACCTACGGAACGGGCAAATGTTAAGGAGTTTGGCTGCTAGCTTAAATAGGGTACATCGTATTGTTTATAGGATGTGGGTCGGTCCCCGGAGGTATACCCTTCAGACACCTACCCTCTTAGAATTTGTCTAGTCTGCGTACCCTCTGAGGTGAAGTTGGATCCCCACTTCACCTCAGACCCTTGCTGATCGTCTCTCAGCAATAACAAGCAACTTTCCCATCTCAACGTGATCGTGGACAAGCGTGTCAACGACAGAACCTACCTTCATCTATCTCTAGGAGCAAGCTACCGCCCACGACTTCGCCTCCTTTAAACAAACAACACGAAACTCACCAAAAAAAAGTACTGTGTACCACCCTAACAGTCAGCCCCGGGCACAACAAACAAAAGAATATAATGTAGGACTCTCGAAGGCAGACGGAGAGAAGGCACGAGATGCACCCATGAGATGATGCTCTTCATGCACCGCAGCAATCCTCCCGCCAAACACACAAACACACACAAAAAAAAAAAAACTGTCGCTTTCGAAGTGACACCTCCCGTCTACTCGGCGCTTTGCCTTCCTTGTGTTCGGTCGGGTGTCCCTCAGCCGCTCACACCCCGCAGCAACCACGAGGGCGCGCGCGGGGGGGGACCTGGGGGAGTCTATCCTTTCGAGCAGCTCAGCCGTAAAAAGTAGTCACACTACGGATGACCCCCTGCTTCGTTGTACCCCAGAACAAGAAGAGCGTTGGAATTTGTTTCGACAAAGCGAGGAGGCATGAACGTGCGCAGTATTAGTAACACGGTAAGGCGCAACGCGAGGCATGGTGAAAGTTCCCGTCAGCATGGCCAGCCTTCTTCGCTCTCTTCTCCTTCTTGTTCTTCTTCACAGTTCTCTTCTTGGACTATCTTGAGCAACCAGCTTGTTCGAACTGGCGCCCGCAGTCCCATTGGGCCATTCTCGTCCTTCGCTAGTTGTTGAACCATCCAACCAGCGATGCCAACCTCCTCCTCCTCCTCCTCCACCACCACCTCCTCCTCCTCCTCCTCCTCCTCCTCCTCCTCCTCCTCCTCCTCCTCCTCCTCCTCCTCCTCTCCGCACGAATTCTGCCCGTTGGCTGCATCGGCAGTGGGATCGCAATCGCTAACCGGTGCCGGTGCTGGTGTCGATGCTAGTTCTGGTGCTGCTGCGGCTGCGTCCTCGGTTTCTTCTGTTTGAGATACTCCATCGCCCATGCTTGTTGGCCGTTGGTTGTGCCCCAACCCGCGTCCCTCACGATTTCGTCGTCGCACGACTTGCGTGTTGGTCTGTCGGTGTAGTGGTGGTGGCAGCAGCGCCGCCACCGCGATCCCTGCCCCGCCCGCTTCCTTTGCCCGCCCAACGTGAATTCCTTCCGTCTCCCGCGCTAGCGCATCGAGTATCAGCCTGCTCTGTCGGCTGAAAAAGCTTCCGTGGTTGGGCCGACGGGGACTGTGGCTATCACCATCATCACCTGTAGCCCCTGCCCGCTCGTCGCTGGCGTCTTCCCCCTCACTTCCTTCGTCGTTAGCCACACTGCCGCTACTACTACTGAAACTGCGGCGGCGGCGGCGGCGGCCACCGCTTAAACGGGTGCCGGTGGTGGCGCTGCCCGTGGCTGTGACGGTCTTGCGGGGGATGCCTACTGAAGGCGATGAACACTCCGGGCTCCAAGGGTGCGGCCGGCTTCGTCGTTCGCGGCCGTCGTCGCCGCCGCTACTGCTGCTTCCGCCACCGCCACCGCTCGGCGCTACTCTTGGCGCCGCCACCGCCGCTACCACGGAGGGATGTTGACGTCGCTGCTTGGCCGGGAGGTCGGCCTTGATGGCCCTCAGCTCGGCGACGACCTCCGACGCCGCCGGCCTCCTGGAGTGGTCGGCGTGCCAGGCGGACGCGAGCAGCTTGCAGAGTCGGTCGGGCCAGGATCTGTGGAGTCGCGGGCGCTCCCCGCCGGTGACCACCCTCTACACTCCGCCGCATATTGTCGTGCAGCACGGGGACATGGGCAACGGAGGGATACATGTTTGTCGGTCATTCTCAGCGGGAAGAACAAACACCCAAAATTTTCTTGCTCTGCCCGATGATAGCGCCAAGCGGAGGGGGAGCACGCGTACGTTTCAGATCGGCAGGAACGATATGTCTTTCGCGGTCTCTCTTCATGCCTCTATCTCTCCGTTTCTCTCTCTTTCTCTCTCACACACATTTTTCTTCTGTTATTTCGGCGGCATCTGTCGTTAACCCAGGGGGTAGCGTAGACTCCCCCATGACGGTCGGTCATAGGGTCCCAGATTGTGACCTTTGGAAGCATTTTGTGTTTTCATCAACCGCACTGAGACGAACGTCTTTCATTGGCTAGCCGGTTCGCGCGGCCAATGCTAAAAAGAAAGACACACACACGCATTTTGTGAATAAGCGCACCGGGATTGACGTCTTTTCGTTGGTCAGCCAGTTATCGCGGTCGATGCCAACAATCAGAACACACAAACACAAAACACATTCTGTCTCTCGTCGTCGCCATGATCAACTCATCAAATACACTTCGGGGCATCTCCGGTTAGCTTCGGCTGATCCCGAAACCTCCTGTCGGTGTCGTCCGTCACACATGCAATCCAGGACAAGAACACTCGGAACAAGGCCAGGACCGCCTAACGGTACATCGACAAAAAAGAAAAATCGCCTGGCCAACCTGGCCAGTCTCCCTATTTTCCAAATGCCGGCACTTTTTTCTCACGTTGATGAAAGAAGCCTGGTTCATGTCCGCGTATGGCCTGTCAATGGCCAAAATCTCCCAGCTCAGGATAGCCCAGCTGTAAACGTCCACCTTAACGTTGTACGGCTCGTGCTTCACGAGTTCGGGTGCCATGTACCTGTAGGACCCCACCTCACCAGTCATCTGTCGCCGTTGTGTGGGCGGGGCCGAAGGAGAGGCTCGTGTGGGTGCAATGGTTCGTAGGCAGGGCACAAAATGCTTTTTTCGTGGAGTACAGGTGAGCACCCTGGCACCAAGCGCCGATTGTGGGGACGGTACTGTGAAGAAAGCATTCAGGAGCGGTCTTCCGCAGATTAACAGGCAGGTCAGTCAGGTACGAGGAGGGTAGGAGGTATACGAGCGACGCGACGGGAAACGAACAAGCGTTTCGTTTCCGTTTCATCGCTTCGCAGGGAGTATTTGAGAGAGCGAACCTGCAGATATATTGCCGCTTGTGTGCATGTCGAACCGGCCCCAGTCTGCCTTCTGTCCTCCTCCTCTCTCCCCTTATTATTCGTGCCATGACTTCTGTACTGTACGAAACACGCTCATTCCGACGTCTTACGCAAACGGGAGGGCCTCCCACTGTACGAAAAAAAGGCAAGGAACAGGTTCAGTCGAACACAAAACCCGACCCAAGCTAAAGCAGCACACGTCAGTCAGAACCCAACGTCGCGTTCATCGCACGTGATGCGCACACCTCCTCGCGACCCACGCCCACACCTCATCACGAGATCACACACACCGGAGAACTGTCTAATAACCAAAACGTGTTCACCACAGGGCACACTCTCAAGTGCGAAACCCCCGCCCACACGTAACCACACCTCGTAGGTGTCGTCCTCAGTAGAGTCGAGTGGAACCATCTTGGAGAGTCCAAAGTCTGGTGGTACGATGCAATAATAATAATGCGGATGGCATGATGGCGGTGGGAAAGCAAGCAGGCAAGAAGAGAGGGCGGCAGCGACAACCTTTTATCTTGCTTCCAGTTCTTCCGGGCCGATATGCGAGGATCGGAGCGCGCGGGGGGCTTAGCATTGCGAGCGCGACTTCTCGGGGCTATTCTCGTTTGCAGTGGTACCCTACCCTTGCCGGACGCTGTGTTATGTAACTCAGCTCACGAAATTGGAGAAAATGTGGCTCTACTTTTACTTTCTTTCGGGGTTTTCCCGCCCTGTCCTCCTTTCTGCACCTGTTCTTCTCCGAGAACTTCTAGTCTTCGCGCGTGCGGGTAATTTTCTGTTTTGGGTATTCCTTTCCTCTGTGGGGTGGCTTTTTCATGGAAAATATTTTCTTGGCCTTGAGAAGCACAAGATGAGGTACTCGACATATAGCTTCAAGATGGCCCGTGCAGCAGTCGCAGCCAAACAAAGTAATCGTGCACCCCCAACCAAACCCGGAACGCCGCCTTGCGAAACATAGAACAACAGCAGTGTTGGAACCGCAGCAGGCTGGTTGAAGGCGATGATGATGTCTGCTCTGAGCGAGGGTTTCAAGTGGGAAGAACAAACAAAAACAATCGGGTAGTGTACGTCAAGCACGAATATAGCTACTGGTTGGGGTGGATGGTGGACTTGCCGGTCGAACCGATCAGAGCTATATTGTACGTCATCGCCAGCGCCCGTTCAACACCATGTCTAATGCGTTGATTGAATGCACACATCCTGCTGACGGCCAGACTCACCTAGGAGCTTGAGACACCCATTCTGCGCGAACCCGACGTTCATCTGCAGGAGGAGGAAAAAGCAACATCAAAAGGATTCGGCATTTGACCTTGTCAACCTTAAGCTCACTACTACCGGGCGCCTCAACGCCTGCTACCACAGTACTGTGTTGAACCAAAGAGTGCTCGCTCCCCCCCCCCCCCCCCCCCCCCCCCTTCTTTTTACCTTCTTTTTCCCCCT